ACGTTAGGAGCCCTAGGAATGTCGCCTGTAAACAGCGTGAAAAGAAGGGGCGAGAGGACCGAGCCTTGAGGGACTCCGGCCATGATGGGTCTAGGGGACGATAACGTCCCTTCAACACGATAGCGCATAGAGCGGTCGGACAAGAAGTCGTGTATTATACGCACGAGTCTTAATGGCACTTGAAGGTGGTAGAGCTTGTAAACCAAGCCGTTGTGCCAGACCTTGTCGAAAGCCTTCGCTATGTCTAAGAAGAGCGCACCCGTGGCTCTTGGTATCGTGGTGCTGTTATTCAGCCCGGAAAGGATGTGCTCCGTGATTCGATGGACTTGGTGGACGCACGAGTGGCCTGGTCTAAAGCCAAACTGCTCATCGGGAATGAGCCCTTTTCTAGGGCAAAGTCTAGGAGGCGCTTTTTAACTACCTTCTCGAATAGCTTGCTTAGCGTGTTGAGAAGGCTGATAGGGCGGTAACTGGTGGGATTGTTACGGGGCTTGCCTGGTTTGTGAATACCAATTACAATAGCCTCTTTCCACTGCGCCGGGAAGGTGCAGTTTTCGAGAAGGCAATTGAATATGGCCACTAGTAAGCATATCAGATGGGGCGGGAGGCATCGTAAGACCTTGTTTGAGATGGCGTCGAGACCTGGTGATTTACGAGGCAGTGAACCCTTGATTAGAGTTTTGACCTCGGCGATCGACGTAGGAGGGAGCGGCTCGGGAGGGAGGGGCAGTGCGACTATGCGTTGGACTTCGCGGTTCACGTGCTCAACGTGCGCCGGGTCGCTATGGTCGAGATAAGGCGTGCACTGCTCTACTAGGTTTACGGCTAAGCACTCGGCTTTTTCGTCGTCATCGAATGCGTCAGGTTGATTTGGACGTTTTAGCGGGGGCATGGAGGCCACCGTGTCGGTTTTTAGGGAACGCGCGAGAGACCAATAGGCCGTGTGCGAAGGTGACAATTCGCTGGTAAGACGGTCCCAGCGTTCGTTTCTAATTTCCCGTATGCGCTCTTTAACTCGGCGCTGCGCGGCGCGGAGTGCTCTACGGTTATCATCGGTCGGTGCCCTAGCGAAGGCGCGAGTCGCCGCGTTCTTCTCGGTCAGTAAGCGCCTTGCGTCCGGGGGAAGCTCCCAACGTTGAGCGAACTCATCTGGGACCTTCCGGGACGATTCGGCGACCTTGGTCTGAATGTGATATGTGACCGAGGAGAGCGCGTCTAACGCGTGAGCGGACGAGACTAAATTGTCGGGGATGTTATTAAGGTCAGAGACTTCGACGGGCTTGAGGGCCTCGTCTAGTTTCTGCCAGTCGACAATGGACTTGTACCTCTTCTCTTGGGTGTTAGGAGGGCCGAATTCAAAATGAACCGGGAAGTGGTCAGAGTCTAATTCGTGTAGCACCTCTATGCTTCGCGGCTGTAGTGCCACGTTGCGTAGAATCGCCACGTCTAGAACGTCCGTTGAGAGAAGACCGTTACAATTTATACCGCGACGAGTCGGATGAATGGGGGCAATGACATTAAAATCGAGTACGTCAATAAGCCTGCTGAGGGCTCGCCCATTAGGGTTTTGTTTTGAGCTATTCCAGTCCCCGTGTTTGCTATTCAGGTCCCCGGCCAGTAAGACCGAGGGGCCCAGTGCAAACAGGGTCCTAAGATCGCTCTCTAATATGTCCTTAGTGGGAGGGAGGTACACCGATGCGATGATAATCGGCTGATGACCGGTCATAGCCACGCGTAACACAGAGCACTCTATGTTGATTAGGGAGGGCGGGTCTAGCGGCGAGCAGTGAAGCGCACGTCTATAATAAATGAGCGTACCGCCTTTCGCCGTAGGTCGGTCGTTTCGCACCGCGACGTAGTTCGCGAATCTAGGTGCGCGAACGCTGGGCTTTAGGAACGTTTCCTGTACTAGGAAAATATCAATTGGGTGGCGAACGAGGAAATCCCGAATTAAATCTGACTGTGGCTTGAAACCGTTCGCGTTGAAAGTCACTACGGACAGTGATCGAGCCTTGACCCTAGACGTGGTCGTAGCTATTGCGGTGCGTTAGAGTTTACGAATTGCCGCACGGATTTAAGGAGCAGGGCGTGCTCGGTTATTACCTCCACCTTGGTGGACGCAGTTTTAGCGGATTTAAAGGCTTCCGCGAATGCGACGAGTGCGTCCAAGTCTATAGCGTCTATTACGCTAATCGCGAGATTAAAGGCGTCGCGGACGTTGCCTGATTCCTCAGATGCCTTCACGGGAGGGCTGAGGGCTTTGGTAGGAGGGCTCGCATTTGATGTGGGCCTCTCTTTTAAGATAGGGGTTGACGCAGGGACCTGGGAAGGCGCTGCGGTTGCGGGTTTAGATGGCAGAGGCGGGAAAGCTTCTGTCGTGAGTTGGGGAGGGCCCTCCGTAACGGGGGCTTGGCCCAGGGACTGATTTCGGGAGGCGGGGCCGGCACGTATGTGGGCTTTGCTCCCGTGCCACGACGGGCCGCATCGCGTCCCACCATGCGCCTAGCCGGCGGCTTTTGCGCCTTTGGGGCTCTAGGACAACCGCGATAATTCGCAGGGTGTCCATGTTGCCCGCAAAGCACACATGCCGGCGGCTCGGCACATGGAAGAGTGCGCTTGCAGTCCGATGTGCCATGGTCGCCTAAACACTTGACGCACCGCGCCCTAGCAAAACAGTTACGGGCTGCGTGCCCGTAGAGTTGGCAGCGATGACACTGCCGTGTGAAGGAATGTTTGAGGGGAGTTTCAACCCTCAACCCCGAGAGCTTACAACACTCTTTCCCGCTCGGAGTAGGGTCTAGGACTACTAGTACCATATCGTACTCTTCTTTGGTGGTGCGGTTTAACATACGGAATACATCCCTTACGGGGTATCCCTGTTCGGTCAAATCTAATTGGACGATCCCGGAGTCTATTTCCTTCGGGCGCTCAAATCAGTCGTAAAGCAGTCATTTTATGATTTGGCATTCTGATAAGGAAGGAGCTTGTAGTTTATTGTAACCGCCACCAAATGTACGTTATTTTCGCTTGTACTTTTTTTTCTTTATATTGATGATAAGCTTATTTCTGTTATACGCGACGTCATCGCAGCTAAAATTTGAATACAAATTTTGGCAGAACGTATTCCACAATAATTTTCGGAACCGCAGTCAGTGTCAATGGAATTTCATTGCATTCACGAAGGCATATATCAGTTTTGTGGAGCTATTGACTACCTTTAGTCTCTTCTTGGACCTTCGTTTAGATCCTTTGGTGGGGTGCTTTACATTGCTAGCCATAATCCACTTTTGTACAAGGGTAATTTTTGTAATAATTGCACAAAATATTTGCGCTGAGCGCGGGCTATGCGTCTATTTGCGGGCATACTCGTTTATTTGCGTTTGTCGCGAGTCACGAAGGGCGTTCACTCCGCCGCGGGCTATTTACGCACCACTCTTATTATATGGCACCATATTCATTATGCAAATTTCTATCTTGTGACCGACATTCGCGATGTCCTAATGATGGCGCTTCGAGCCTACAACTTTGACTATTACCTTTAGTATTTTTCTCAACTTATAATGAGAACATTTTACGAAAGATCATCTCATATCTTACCAAACTGAACGTCCCTCGATTTAACGACAAACCCCCTAAAATCTAATCGTCTTTGTTGGTTTAGTTGATATTATCGCAAGATATGAATAAAATAAGTAAAAAATACAACATAATTTCTCGTACAGCAAAAGACGTTAGGGGAAAATAACAGACTATACGCAATAGCGTTCAAATAAGAATTGTGTTTTATGTAATTACTAACACTACTATGAAATAAACTTTTTCTTTTTCCAATACAGATTTTTCTTCATACTACTTTGACTTTGTAATGTCAAAATGTCAAACAGTCCCTTGAGTGTCGTTATATAGAGTTTACACTGTATTTGACAAGTATATTAATTACAGTAGTAACTGATAAATCTAAAAAAGAAGGGTAATTTACGATATGACATGATTCTTACAATCACAAAGGTCTCTATAAGTAAGACTTCGCACCAGAGACTGAATAAATTAAAAAATGTCTCGTAAAACACTAATTAATAAAAATAAAGTTTCGGTGTGATATCATTTTCATTTAAAAATATAGTTAAATTGTAAAAACAATTGTAGTATTTTGAATATAATTTAAAGTTAAATTTGAGTTTACGTTGAGTTTTGGTGGAATTATAAAAGGCTAATATTTAAAGTTATGAATGTAGCATAAGAAATATTTTATATTAGGACAGCATTAAAATGTCTACAAACTGAATAAGGCTCCATCTAACAGCAGCATCAGAAACCAGGGCAGAACGTATAACAAAAGAGAGTTACAAGGGGCCTCATAGCCTAGCGGTCTTATTAAGTGGCAGCTAGGTGAGGGGTACCGGGTTCGATTCCCGGTTCGAGGGCAAGTTTTAATTTAATTTAAAAATTTGTTCTCGGCCTTTGGGAGGGTTGTGCGTTACCGGGCGAGTGCTTAAATCGTACATAGAGAACTCGGTCTAATTTCTAAAAAAAAGACAAGCACGAATTATAAAAAAAATCCTATACTTGACGCTGGCTAATGCACAAATCGGCAAGAGCCATAAAAAAAAAAAAAGAGAGTTACAACAGTATTTTCTTGTTGAAATTCCTTAAGATTGACCAATTGATTATATCTAATTCTATTTTAGCTGACGAGATTCTTGGGCCAAATAGCTATTCTACTTGCTAATTATATTGCGTTAATCACATACGGTTTGATAAAGAGTTAATATGAATGATGAATTGAATTTGAGTAGGTTTTGGTTTTATCAATTTAAGTCTTCCTTTAAGTCCTTTCGGTAGAAAAAATGAAAATTGTTTGTAAGTGAATAATGGTTCCTTAACCACCTATTTCTAGCCTTATATTATAGGAAACTCGACGGAGAAATTGGGTGGCAAAAAAAGGCTCCAATCAAGACTTTAGTAAGAAACTCGTATATTAATGTCGCAACAATTCGCAGGTGCGTCAAGAATGCGGTCCGCCATCTACCCTTGAGAGCACGAACCTGCCTCCTCCCTCTCCCACGGGGGCATCTAGAAGGGACGCGCTGCGGGCTCCGCCACCAGACACGGAACTGCTCCAGTTTGCAGCAACGCTCGCCGCTACGAAGAAGCTGTTCGCCAGTATGTCTGACAGACTCTGCGATGACCCAGACTTTGCCACTGATGGAAATGAGAATTGCTGGAATGGGGATACTGTTGGAGAGTAAGTAAAAATGTATTAAAAAAGAACCATGTTTTAAATGATAAAATCTCTAATTACAAATACGTATTACGCTGTTTGCAAATAAAACAATTAATATCAATTTACATTACGCATTATGAAGATTACTACATTTTCATAGCTTATTATTAATGATAAAGAATTCACCTGCACCGGTACGTAAGCCATAATTGTGTCTGACTAAGAGTCACTTTACCATTGAAATATTCGTTTTAGGTACACCAAAGCGCTTGTGGCATCTGCTTCAATGAGTGATCAGAAATACAATCCCGAAATGACGGAGACTGCTTCCAACCCTGAAGTGGCCATTCTTGGCGAGAGATTACGTCAGGCAAGACAGGTAATATAAGATATACAATAGATATATAACTTACTTGTAGAGGATGGATTCGGTTAGATAATATTGCAACATTTTGTTTCACGAAAGCTTAAAGCCAAAGACAAATATAAAAGTATTAAAAATTGTTTCTTTTTATTATTAATAACAATTTATTGCAAGAATATGGTACAAAAATGTGTAAGGTGGTACAATCGTAAGTTCGCATATTCTGCCATACACAATGGCGCGCAAATTTGTCTTAAGGAATTTTACATTATACAATATTAGTCAAAGTCAATTCTTATATTATTTGTACATATCATATCATACTTCATAAAAAAAAATGTTTGTTAAATTAATATCAACTAGTCTCACGCAAACAATCATTTATTGAATAAGCACATTTTTTTCCAAAATTAATACACCAAGTCGCTTTTTAAAGACTCTAGTCGGAAGATCTTTTAATTATTTTGGTAATTTATTGTAAACCTTAATTGCCATACAAAAGGTGTTTTTCCTAAACAGTTCCAGATTGTTTTTGGCACAGCCAATTTCTCCCCATGTCTTACTCCGACTTTTACATCATCATATTTATCATGAATTAATTTATTTATCTGTATTTATAATATAGATTTCTTAGCTAAAAATAATGTGTTAAATGGTTGGATCACTGTTCTATTTATGTATAGAAGTTATTAAGCAAGAATACACTTATCACTAGAAAATACTATTTTAAGAAGCTTCTATTAACTCCAAAATTTCTTTGACAGTTACTTGTTTCGCACTCTTGGAGCGGAAACCTACCAGCAGCTGAGGCCTTCATGCAAGGAGATGAAGCTGGAGACGAAGGTTCGGGCTCTGGTCGTCTCTACACTGATGACGACGCCGCATATGATGCTGAGGGTTCTGGAGAAGAAGGATCTGGGACTCCTGATATTGGTGAGATCTTTGGCTTGAATACTTAAAATGTCTTCATAGAGACAAAGTAGTCTAGTCAGGAGTTAATATCATAATTTTTATGTTTATTTCAAACTTCTGCGATATTTACAATTCCAACGTTCCTTTACCGCGAACAATATATCTAATAAAACATAATATAAACAATAAACATATGGAACTAGGATTACAACTAAGAAACTTAATCAGTTATATGGAGAATGCTGTGTTCGATCTCTCAAAACTAACAAAAAATAAAATAAATTTGTTGTTAAGGATACAAAATTAGAACTATGACACATCGCCATGTTCAAACAAACAGCTGATACAAGGTTCACGGTCTTTCAACAGTGAATGTCACATTCAATCGCCTCTTGTTTTTCAAATAATCATTGTTCATCACATTTGTGTTATGTATTTTGTACATATAGAATAGCAGCAATAATAAAATAGCACTGTTGTGGATTAAACGTGCGACTCTTATCCCTGGGGTCGTACTTTCGATGCCCGGCTGTGCACAAATGGTCTTTCTATGAGCGCATTTAACATTCGCTTGAACGGCGAAGGAAAACATCGTGAGGAAACCGGGAATGCTTTAGACACAAAAAGGTTGATCACCTATTGCCTATTAGAAATGATCACGGAACAGATACAGAAATCTGAGGGTTAGACCTTAAAAAGTTGAAGCGCAAAATTTTTAAATAATGTTACGTATTGCTTATAGAAGTAAGAATTGACCCAAAGTTTAATTTGATATAAAAACTACTTTAATTTGTTTAATAGCAGTGAGTCGAACGATTACCGGAGAAGAAACAACATACTCAGCACCTCCAAAGATAAGTGGAGCCTCCACCAGATCCGTCTGCGGGTTCATGGTTGCTATACTCGTGTCCGCAGTCGTCAGCGTATAAGCCCAGTGCGAGTTCATCTCGAGAGCCGTCTTGAGATCCCAGTGAATCATATCATATGTAAGCAATATTGGAGTGTGCAATGGACTGAAAGTGTGTTTGTTTTAATGTCGAATGTTTTCTTCGATCGTAAGTATTAGAACAATATTAGTATTATGTTCGTAGTACTTGAAAATTGTTAATTTATTAAGCGTACAAATCAACTATCAATTATTTCTAACTTTTAATTAAAATATTGGTTTGATTTAAGCTAGTACATTTAAATAAAAGTTCTTTTTTAAGTACAATACGATTTGGAGTGCTTTTTAGCAAACGTGGCGAGAGACTACTACATCAAGTTATTATGTAAATAACGCAGAACAGAATCAAATCAAAGAAATTTTATTTATTACGTAAAACACCGAAATCAAAAATCTCCTAAATATTACTTGTAACTTGTAAGTTTCATTCACTTTAAAATTTATAAATAAAGCTATAAATTTTCTCTTTATAATATTTTATTATACGATTTTCCAGAAAATTAAATTAACTCGAAACACATTTCATTGTATCTCGATTACAAAAATTACATCAGTTACACTGACTTACTTACTGTTCTACTTACAATGCTCTTCATATAAGAAAATACTCGCATAGAACATAGACTAAACTTACTGCTACTCGATATTTATGTCGCAAAATTTTGTTTTACACAATTATGTTTTATGAATCTTTGTATACTCCGCTTGACACCTTGCTTCCCTCTATCACGTAGGTATCATGAAACATATATACTGATCTAATTATTATCGAGGAGAAAATTTATAAATTTCAATTGATTTTGTCAAGTCCTAGTACGCTTTATATGTTTGAGGTGTAATGAAAAAGACAATGTTTTAGAGTTGTTTTGTGTAGCTAGTCCGTAGCAGATAACGCTTCAAAACAAAGCGACGAAGCATATATCAAATGGAAGTCTGCAAATGTACATCATATCAAGACTACTGTAAATTGTAAATATTTTCTCATTTTATATAGAGAAGCATTTATAGAGTGAAATCGTCATAATAAATCTCTATTCAGTGTTAATAGATTGGCAATAATTCTTTTAGGATAAAGTTTAGATAAAAATTATAAATTGTATATGTGTACATACCTTAATACCTACTCTAGGTGCTTAGATAAGTAAACATTTTGTTGCCATATTATTATTTATATAAGTCATAATTTAATGTTATGTGATACAGGATTAGTCTAAGTTAAATTGTGTTATTTATATCATAGTGCCTATTTGGCCTAATTTGTGTGACCATCACCAGAATCCTGATGCAAAACGAATACTAGAGGGCTTCAAAAATTATATTAATAATTAATATTTCAGTTTTAGAAGGATTTTGCAGCCCTTCTAGCATGTAAGACGACCTACTATGACCGCTTAAGTTCCGTAAAGCTATACATTAAGCTATACATACATAATAATTCCGTTTCCGGTGACCCGCTATTAGCCATCCCCTCACCGGTTACGCCTTTGGCCTATGAGATGTATGTTATGATATTGCTATTCTAAAACAAGTATTTTTACCGATTTTTGTACACAAGACCGGGAAAAAAATACGATTAGTTGCGCGCCAGTCGACTTGCTTTTAATTAATTCTTATAGTAGGAAAATGCAACTCGCAGCTTTCAGACTGGCCTTGACACGTGGCAGGAAATACTAGAACACTCATAGGCCAACAATTGATGGTTATACATACATTTAGGTTTATAAAAAAGATTATTGCATTACGTACATATAGAGATAATTTTGTCCCTAAAAAGTATGAAAAATTTGAAATATTATTAAATCGACTGTGCTTTAGTGTTATTCGCGTCATTTAATGACGCAAGAGCGTATTGTGTTGTATATTATTAGTAATAGATTAGAAAATGAATTTAATAATTTGACTGTATTTAAATTACTCACTGAAACCTGAAGCTAACTTCACGTCATACTTTTGTTGATGAATATTGTATAATCGTTTTCAATAAATTTCTGAATTACCTTATGATAGAATTCATTGATTTAAAATGTACCCTTATAAGAACTGTCAGTCGTCTTAGTTCTCACAGAGTAATAACAATTTGACGCAAATAAGTTTTTATAATAAGGAGGTTAATTCAGCCAAGTTAATTGTCATAAAATTTCTTAACACCCGCCATCCGAGCCGTCACTTCTTTGAGTGTCCGAATAATTTACGTCAATATGTCAGGACTTCTTCATAATGTCTTTTTATCGCATTTTAAATGAAAGAAAGTGTGGAATTATTTATACGCAAGGATTACGACGAGAATGTAAACCAAAAGATTTGGCGCGTTTTGTTTCATTGTGATTAGTGAAGAGAAATACTCGTGTATTGGAGATGAGATACCATTGACCTGAAAAAATAAAATCGTCTTTTGTTTTACATTCTAGAAGCGTGTACACAATCCGGACAAATTAAATAGTTTGACGAGTTTCATATTTGACAATTGACAAGTGACAGTTTCGGGTTGGCATTAAAGGCTTGCACCTCAATGTTCTGTTTCATTTAAGTAGTACTATGCTGTTAAAGTATACTCGTAGTCTATGCCAGAGCTCCATGTAAATATAAATGGACAGAATAGAATGTTTATATCATGAAAATAAATCTGTACCACAATAATAATGTTTTTTATTCACGAAACTTTGTATAAGTTTTGAGTTCACCTGTACTGATTTTGAAAACATTATTCAATGCATCCCATAACCGCTAAACGTTACAAGGCATAGACAAATTTTCTATTTCTATTTCTTGCTGCTACAATTATTTTTTCCCCGACAAACGAATCCAGAAGATTAACAAAAAGTGCGCATTGATTGTAATTTAGGGATAGTTTTACACGTTGAATTAAAAAGAATTTATTTATGAAATAAGAACTGACACAATTATGAAAACACATATAATGCAAAGCAATTAAAATAATTCTATCACAATTACATGGTTATGGTCGAAATAGTCCTTATAGAAAGATTGCTGAGGTCGTAGGTTCGATCCCCGGCTGTGCACCAATGGAATTCCTTTGTGAAAAGAAACATCGTTAGGAAACCGGCTGGCCTAAGACCCAAAAAGCCGACGGCGTGTGTCACGGAGGCAGTTAGGAGGCTGATCACTGACTTGCCTATAAGATTGACAAATAATCATAAAACAGATGCAGAAATCTGCCAAGACCTAAAAAGATTATAGCACCACTGATTACTAAATTTTACCCTTCCTTAGGTTAGAAGAAAATAGAAAAGAAGGGTAGGAGATATATATACACACACAAAAGAACACATACACATGTATAAATTGTATTTCAGTAAAATGTGTTACATCATGACATTGACATAATTTATAGTGTTGACATGGGAACCCTGACACTTTTACTAAAATCTATCTATCTTTTACTAACAAGAGTCCTCAAATCTAAATATTGTAATGCATATGTACTTATAACGAACAAACACATGAATATATTTATTACGTAGCTGTAAAATGTTCGCCATATAAATTGTTTGATTGGGATCGATTGGCTTCAAATTGGTGTGAATGATGTGCGATAAATAGCCGTAATATGCCAAAATATCTTCTAGCTTAAAGTGATTTTAATTGTTATTTCACCTCAGTTACAGTTGTAGCAAGATGAAATATTTTTCCCAACCCATTTCTTAAAGCATAGAAAGCAAAGAACTATTTGCATTGGAAATGGCTATAAAGCCGAATAAAGCACAACATTAACAAAATAGGACACTTCAAAAGATATCCAAAGCTTCTCTCGGACCATTGCCTCTGCTCCGCTGATTTACGCGAGAGTATACATTCCTTTGTCTAAGTAATAATGCTTTAATGTGTTTTGAGATATTATTTAAGCTGGGGAGAATTATGAGTTCGTTTTCATTGTTAATTTACTAATGTATAATGTTTTACATACAGGAGTCAAACTTAGAAGTCTTGACTTAGAATATTTCTCGGTCGTACTTGAATTCGTGTGTACGGTGATGTTAGTTGTTTCGACTATGTATTTGCGTGTTGTTCCCACGAGAATGTAAGTACGTGCTCCTTTTTCACCATGCCTCCTGCGATAGAGGACACGTCTTTGTTTTTAATTTATGTTATTATTATTAATTACTTAAGATGTCATGTGGAACATGGTGTAATGGTTGCAGCTCCTTACAAACGTTGTGTAAAACAAAAACTTGGCGAATTAAAATAGTGGCGGAGAGTTTATTGCCAGTTCTTCTCTTCCGTTCTACGCCCTTGATTTGAGAACTGGCAGTAAATGAAAATTAGAGGCATTTAATGTATATTTCTTTTTTTTGACATTCATAAGTGTACATTGATGAATAAATGATTTTTGTTTGTTTGTTTGTTCCCTACGAAAGTAAATTACATTATTATTTCTCTTAGGGATGGTGGGGTACAATAAATTGGAAACCAGACGGGACTTTCACTACATAGTTGGCCTACTCTTAAATCTTAAAGGTGGAAGTGTGCAACTATACTCCAAGAACTGAGTTTCTTTGTACCTATGGGATATGTGCGACGGTGAAGGCCTAGTTTATTTGTGATACCAAGGGCTTGAACCATTCTGTTGCACAGATCCCCGTTATCAAAGACGTTGCGGCTGTATGCTATCTCCACTATCGACATATTTGTATGTTCGTAGAGTGATACACAGTAACGATATTGTGTATATAGACCACAAGCCCATGAACAAAAAATACCTGTGAAATGACCCAACGTGAATTACGCTTAGAAGGCTGTTACTATATCTGAAAATAGCTCTGAGCACTATGCCGTCATTTCTGAGCGGTACATGTGAGTACGTGAGTGAATGGACTTTCTCAGGTACAATTGGGGAATTCCGACTAATTATTAATGTACGGCTTTGTTATAAGTGTATAGATGATTAAAAATAAATGTCGAAAAACTTAGTGCCGTACTAAAGTGATGGTACCGGAAGTCGGTGCAAATTTTTAATTTGACGAT